TATAACAAAAAAATTAAAAAAAATTAAAAAATAAATAAATAAAAAAATTAAATTGTTTTAAATTAAATTTGAAAACATTTTTTAATTGTTAAAAAAAAAAAAAAAAAAAATGAGATTCCATGAGAAAATGAGAAAAGGGAAAAAAAATCCAGCTTTTCAACTGAGAAAAAAATCAATAAATAAATACAATTATAATAAAAATAAACAAATATTAATTAAAATAGTTAAATAAATAAAACAAATGAATGTAAAAAATAAATAATGCTACAAAATAAAAAATAAAGCTACAAATTAAAAGTGAAAAAATGCACAAAAAATACCTAAAAATGCTCAGATATTCAATTAGAACATGCGATATATAAATATATATATATATATATATATATATATATATATATATATATATACTGTATATAAAGTGAAATATTTTTCTAAAGTGAAAGTCTTCATATGTGGCACACAAGTCTTATTGGCACACATGGATGATACTGCAACAACAAGACAGTAAACATCCAGGTCCACGCGGAAGCTGGTGCTCCAGATAAGTTACAGTGAGTTAACCTTCTGTTGGATGCTTGTGTGTGGCAGAGGGTGAGCCTGTAACAACAGAACCGAGAGGGAAGGTGCTTGTGGTTGTGTGGCTTTCTATTTGCAGGCCTGGCTGTGTTGCTGGTGTAGCGAGAGTTGAAACAGATAGCCCGCGTGTAAGAGGAGAGGTCTACAGCACAAACAGCGACTGTCGTATTTCCCTTCAATCCTCTCAGTCGGCCACTCAAGGTCATCATCGTGTTACGGCTATGATAAAAACACACGTACACATTAGGTCGTGGTTGCAAAATCAGTGCTGACGTTGTAAGATATGATATGTATTGGAATCGTGGCCCAAGACACATTGAGCTGTGGTGTAAGGTTGGGGAAAAAAATGTAATTGCGATTGCAATGCAATTGTGATGGGTCTCAATTGACCCGCAAAATGTCATTATCCAATTCTTCCATCATTTCCTGTCATCTCTTGACATTTACTATACAGAAAAGGCACAAAAAACATAATAACTTTTAGAGTCCAGGCTAAAAGCACAGGAATGATTGTGTTCGCAATCGCTTCTACGGTTGATGGGGGTGCTTTGGGTAAAAACGGCTCAATAGACTCAGGGTTAATGAGAGATGACCATTCGAGAATGGCTATGGGAACTTTACGCTCCACATCGTCATGGCGACTGGCCTCATTTCACCTGCATCTGTCACTGTTTTTATCAGAGTGCCACCACCAGGGCTACAGCCGTGCTACTGCAGAATACTCGGAACTCACTCTCTCTTTCCCTTTTTCCTTCCATTCCCCTGTTTTTCCTTTTCTATTCCACAGAAGTGTGTATGAGAGCAGAATAGGGGGCAAGACGGGTCCCCCTGTGAGGGACAGGATATCCTGAATTATTGAACCAGCCAAACGGGCCACCTGCCCCTACACCATGATCATTCATATTTCACATTTAAAACACACACGCACACACCTCTATACCATACAGGCCTAGTGTGAATCCAACCTAAAACACTTGACCAATATTTTTTGGCAAATATTATTTCACCAATGTCAGACAGGAGGAGTGTTATTTTTGCAACTCCATTTTGTTAAAACTAGTTGTGCAGAAATTACACACTTCACCTTTAAGAAGTGTTTTTATATGATAATAAAATGCTGCTTTTGTGACAGCTAAGAGTGACTGCAAATTATTACTCTAAAAATGATTCATCAATAAAATAGCTGCATCACTCCTCTTAATATTCCACATTAAAGCACAATAAAACGAGCTAAGACTTCCTGGTCCTGAGTCTATAATGTCATACATGTACAGTGTCCGCCTGTAATGTGTCTCTAACACACACATACATAAAATCTGCCTCTTTAACACCCTTCTGTTCTGCCTCTGACTCATCTCCACTTCCAAGAGCTCATCATTTTTTTCAATTTTACCCAGGCTGCCCAGTAATGTCCTTCTTTTATTGCAAATCTATACTCTTAATCTGGCCGGCACCGATGGGCGCGCAGCTCGATCAATAGAACGCGATTGCTGGGAAGAGTCCAGAGAGGCTGATAACCAAAAACCAGCAGCCACCCCCCACAGGGTTAAGCTCTGACACAGACATGCACATATATGTACAAAGCACACACACACATATAAACATTCAAACTAAGGGTTAAGCTGAAGTTCAGACACACATGCACATTTGTATAGACACCATCCTACACAAACAGAACATCTTACACAAACAGACAAACACAGGGTTAAGTTCTGACACAAGCACACATATAAATAATAAAGCAGACGGATGACTCCTTAGAGAAGGACCAGTTGTGAAAATGCTTCTATTTTGTACTATTAATTTAAAAATATTTGTATATATGAATATAATGTGTATTACATAAAAAGGGTCAATATTAATAATATTAATAAATAAAATAATTGTATATGTATTTTTTATTTTTGTTTAAATGTATTAAACATTAAAACAAAATTCATTTCATTTATTTAATATCATTTTTATTATTTTTAATATTGTATTTAATATTATAAATATATTTATAAAATATTAAATATAAATCATATTTTTTCCCATTTTTCTAATGCTTTAAAAAATATATATATTATCAAAATAGTAAAAAAGTGAAAAGGTTGAATTTGAAAGAAATTGATCTTTCCTTTAAAAAAAAAAAAAAATTCTGCCAGATTTTCAATGTGGTCTCAGACTTTTGTGCTCCACTCCACACAAACACATCTTAAGAACTGGCTTTCCCTTCACTTTCACACATCTACTATTCAATGCTTTATAGGACCTTCATGAAAACATGCTTTCCTGATGAAGAGATAAGAGACAGACACTGGTGAACATAGACATGGAGCAAAGGTCAGGAAGGTCACATGGAAATGGATGTTAACCCTTTTCTATCATCTCATTTCTCTCTTCGTGCATGACTCAAAATGAAAAGCATAGAGGCGAATTATGATGATCATGTTTGAGGCTGGGTGGTTGAGAGGAAAAAGGAGGTAATTAGACCGAAACCCATCTAAGCACTGACAGCGCTGCACAATTTATTGTCCAACTAGAGAACTCTCTGGCCAATCTAATTGCAAAATTAGCTTGTACTAACACCTGTTTTAAAGCATACGGAGCAATATTTCATTCAGCCCATCACAAATTTACTCTTGCCTGAGCACTTCTTGATCTATAAATGGCATGTAATGCAAGTGCTTTCCGTTTTGTGTAAGTAAAGGGGTAGTGAGATACGACCCCTGACCTTTCTGACCCGTACTTAACCCTTAACAAGTGAATAGACTCGCACTTACGAAGCTGAGACAGGGCAGGAAGTGATTGTGTCGCCGTAATTGCCTTATTTCCTGCGACAGGCGATAATGGGCCGAAATCAAAAAGAATCAAGTGAAGCTCTTTTGTTTGTTGTTGTTTATCGTCTCCATTAGCAGTAAACATCACGATCAATGGGGCAAAATTGATGAGACCAAACTAACAGAGAGGCAGGGGTGAAAAATGATTCCTTTGAATGCCACCAGGCCTGGCTGTGCTAATGCAAGCGTGCGCGTGTGCGTCCGAGGGCTCTTATTTGTGATGCATGGGGCCGCACAGCCGTGCACAGCAGGTCTTGATTTACAGAGCAGATCTGTGCTTGAAACAAAGGTAGAGATTGTGGAGGGCAGAATGAATGGCCGTCATTAAGCCTTTTACAGTGACGGGCGCTACAGCTGATTTGCATGGTGGGCCGGCGGCCGCCCCTCGCGCCGAACTGATTTATCTGTTGGTTTAAGGAGCTCAGGGCGGCGCTCCTATAAATACTGCCCATCTTAATAGGGCGCTAAAATGCAGTCGTATGGACCGGTCCGCCTTAAATCACACGCATCCGCTGTCACCCGTAAACACTTTAGAATGGGTTTTGGTCAGCGTAATGAGGAGTTTGGATGTGGCTGGCACACACACACAAGCTAGACATCAGCGATTCAGCCCCCACGTAGCGCCATTCATTCAGACTACTCCCAGAGGAAACATTTCAGATGGCAATATCAGCCTCATTGTAGAGAGATGAAAAATTCAAACGCTCTCGCGCACGCTTTTGTCGTATTTTGTCGCGCCTTTGATGGTTCTCTCGCCCCGTCGGTTGTTAGTAAATTGGCATTATTGGTAGTTTGTTTGCCGGCGTGGATGCAATAATGGCTGCAGGGTTTTGTCATTTACTGAGCGGCTAAATAATGGTACATTCCATAAAAGACACCGAGAGCATGAAAAGGTGACATCATCTCTGCAGGTTCGGACCTTACACCAATCAGATGCACTCCATGGCAGCTAGAGGTGAGAAGATTTCGTGTGTGGTTGAGCGTACGCGCTTTTGTAAGTGTGTGTGTGTTGAGAAAGAGGGAGGGTCACTGATTTCCGGCTCCCTTCACTTCTGTCCGCTGGATACGCTCCAAGGCCAGTCTAATGAGCCAACATGGATTTGGTAATGACCCCTGTGCCCAAGGAGGACACTCTCACTGCTGTCCTGTTTGGAAGTGCACAGTCTCTCACACAATCTCGTCTACTCCATTCCAGTCATTACAGAACCTCCCTACAGACGCTTTTAGTGGGTAGAAGTCCAGTCAACAGGGTAAAGAGTTTTAGAAACGTATTCAGAACGGAATAAGCAGTTAGCAAACCTAAAAGTAAAAACATGTGGCATTAACCCAGGGGGGGAAAAGGCAAAAAGGATGGGAATTATGCAATATATTCAAGATCTCCAAATGTTTCAGAATCCTATCGCTCCATCTACACATGAACCCCTGCGAGAGCTGCATTTGTCAAGAGGAGAATGTGTATACAAACTTCGCAAATGATCTTTCACTCACTAGTCTGATTGAGGATTTACCCCCAAAATGGACATTAATAAAATATCCAGGTGCCAGTAGGTGCAGGCGTCTTTCCATTTTGGGGGCCAAGAGTAAGATACAAGATGTTCTTACCTGTCAATGATGACAGGATCAGATGGCGTCTCGTTTCGGTTCCCGCAGCTCTTCTTGTCACAACACCGGCTGAAATGGATAAAAGACATAAGTTACATGCCTATCTAATAGGGTTGGATCGATATCAAAATGTTTTAGTGCAATACTAGCCACTTGCGACCTCAGTACCAATATTGAATCAACACCAAAAACATAGTGTGTCAATATACTCAAGCATTCGACATTATAATTTGCAATTAGTTGCATAATAATCTCAATTGAACCTGTATTTACAAAGAATATATAATATAATAATATATTTGGATGACAATTTTTTTTAAACATACATAATAATAATAACTTTTATGATTGGGGTTATATTTACTCTTATTTTAGAGAGCAAGAAACACAAAAGTGACTTTTTTTTTCTTTTTTTTGTCAACCAGCTTGATGTTTAATTAGATTTTTAAATACAAAATGTGAGAACAGTGACTTGATTTGGAATCAAAGAAAGCTCTGAAAGAAGAGCAGAAGAAGACCACAGAAGAAAGGAGTTTAGAGATGTGCTTTGATGCTTAAAAGAAATGCTCTGCTCTGTTCTGTTCTTTGAGAGGTAGGGATGGAGCTATGTGGTGACCGGCAAGTCTTTCTCAAGCTGGTGGCTGCCTGACAGGTCGCCCTCTTTCTCCTCTCGCCCTGTGCTCCAGCTGGGCTGGGCCCCCGCCAAGGTCACTCAGCCAGCCTCTGACAGTTTGGACAGGACCCAGAGAAGTCCTGGTGCAGCGGCTCTCTCCCAAATGCTCCTCTCCGACACTGTCATCACCTCTGCCCTTGCCCATGCCCTCGCCCCAGGCTGGCACCTCATCTGGTGGCATGTGGTTCCCCTAAATACATCCCGCCTTGCCCATTCACCCCTTGCCAACCAAACTGGTGAGACCACTGGTGCCGCCTGCTTTGTGAAAATGGTTCCAATTAAGTTTAATCTCATCAGCTTGAGATCATCAGTCAGAAGAGAAATAGTGCTGCAGTAGTGCTTCCAGCAGGATTTAGTTTTTGCAGCAAGAGACAGAAAAAGCCCTAAGAATTTGGGCCTAATAATATAATAAATAATCCTAAATAATTTTCCACCTAAATATAGTATTGCATATAAATATGATATATTACACTTAAAAATATATTTAAATATTTTATTTAATTTTCTTATTTTTTATATAATATTTGTATCATATACGTATATATATATATTCTTAAAAATATGATATAATATAATATTTTATAATATAACATATTTAAAGAAAATATTGATCTTTTTTATGAACGATGACTAAGCATAATCAAAATTAATCATGAAGCAGCAGCACTCGTGAATAACAAAGCGGGAGACACCGAGTTGGTGTACCTACTCCATTTTTCTCTGCACAGTTTGATAAAATGATGAAGTAGATGCTTAAACAAAAAAATCCTTACCCTCGCCTCGATTAAGATTAGCTAAGCAATAACTTCAAATCATATTGTATGGATTTTTCCGACCACTAAGACTCCTGATATATTCATCCTACTTGCTTCATGCTGTCATGCATTAGATTGCCATTTGACAAATAATCCTCACTTAGAGCCACTGAATGCAAAATGATCTGACTTTATGAATCATTTATCACATTGTTTGATCTTTAAGAACCTGAAAAAACATAAACCGTTTCCTTGTTTTCCTGTTCTTTGTGTGTGTGACTGTTGCCATAGTGCGCGCCACCATAATTTATTCCCCCAGCTACTTGGAACCATTAGCAAACTTCCAGGAGACCAATTAGCATTGGAAACCCAATGGTGAGGCTGTGGTGACAACCTCCTCAAACTGCGAAAGAAGTGTTATAAACAAACTGGACCCCAGGAGCACAGCCAGGTCCAGAGGGAGGCCCGGGCCCCCGTTCGCAAAAACAAACCTTGGCGGAGCGTCCATAATGTGGCCTTAATGGCGTTCCCTCCAGGGTCTGAGCAGGCTAGCCCTGGCTTGGTTAATGACGAAGGGCCAGAACCACGAAAACAAATGCGGCTCCAACCTTAAGCCCCAAAAATAAGCACAGGACAAGCCGTGCGGCTGTAGAGAGGCACCTACTCTGGTCGCTCCTACTGACTAGACATAGATTGAGGAACAGATGCTTTAAGAGCTACTTACTCTGCTTGCTATCTCCACAGTGGCCCTCACTAGTCCACCAGACGGACCTCCGGTATACTGAAGTAGATTCACTCCAAAACTAGAAAGGTGGGTTTATCGGATGAGGGTGCAATATCAGAGCGAGGCTTATAAAAAAAAACAGCCTTCAAAGCTTCCCTGGGGAATCTTAAGACTAACATCAGATAGAGTGGAACATGCTGAAGGGGTAAGATAAGACATGAAACGATAGAGAAGGACAGAGAGAATGGATGTCAATAGAGGGCTTGTTTTCAAAGGGCAAGTGTTGTAATTACCCAGTCAGGCACAGAGAGGATGTAGCCAGGGCTAATCATATGCACCAGGCTGCCTGACTGGAGGGTGAGAGCCGATGACAGACCTCTCCAACACAGCATCCTCATCCAGGCTGGCGGACAGAGACCAGTCCGTGCCCACTGTGCATCGCGCGCCATGAGTTTGTAGACGCGCCATGCCAACTATCTGCTGCGATGCCTCATTTGGAGACTCTGAAGTGCCAATTTTAAGTCATTGGGATGACCAGAAAGGACCTTGAATGGTTGAAGGCAAATCAAGTCCTGTCCCATGACAAATTCCTTTGTACGGTACTTTACGGAGAACGCCAGACTCTTTCTAACTTTTAACTTTTCAGTTAAGAAGCTAAATTTGCACCTTGGATTTGATTTTTAGGGGCATGTTATTTCCATCTATAAAAAAAACACTGTCATTTGTAAGTCAAATATTTCTGTTTAATCAATCCATTTACTTGTAGGCTGAATCTTGAAAATGTATAACCACCTACCACATTAAAATATTTTAGCCAATCCCCTGAGCCGCAAATGACATAACGACAGACTGATTGGTTGATGGACACACTAACCAAACCTCAAAGGCAGTAGACAGGGAAAATATAAAAAATAATATAAAAAAAAAACTCCCTTTTTAATTTATTTGGTATGTTAATATTCTTCTAAAGCCTCTCTCATGCAGCGATAGTGAATCATGATCAGTAATATGAAGAGTAATACTTTTTTCATATTAAATAATAAAAAAGGAATTAATAAGGCATTGAAAGTGCTTTGATTGTGAGAAAAGCTGTGCTTGTTATAGAGGTCTCAGGATCTTGTCTTAGGAAACGAGAGGTAAATATGAATTGACCTGTACATTATCTCATGGGTGAGGAGACTGCGACACATCTCTGGGTTTTTGTAAAAATTGTTTTGTCAATAGAAGCAAATTAATTTTGAATGGTTACCAAGCAGCTTATGGGGCCATGCAAACCAGCTAAATCTCAGAGCAAAATTCTTTCAAATTCTTGGTGTCTGTGAGTATGTTCATGTGGCAATAATTGTAACTCCTAGAGATGCCAATTAATCTGTCAAAGTCGTTTGCTAAGCTCATTTACCACACAAAGGAAATTATCTCCAAAAAAGCGCTATTTATTAAACCTGAAAGGGACCATAGGACACTCATCCTCACGTCTGGGACAAGAACATCAAGTTTGCCATGAACAGCTGCTGTGCTTTCAGTCTGTTGATGGGTGTTGCAGGTGAGGCAGACTCCGTCAGGGCCCTGATAAAGAGTTCTATCACCTGGGAGTGAGAGACAGGGGAAATATCTCTCATCTCGCTCTCATTAGCGAATGGAAACACACCATTCATCAGGGGAGGCAGTTAATAATCACACTCAATCACATAATGACCAACTCAAACTGAGCCATCATTATGGAAATGGAACCTGTATCGAAATCATCTACAAGAAAGCCTGGTTCCTTGAGGGAGAAAATAGCACAGGATACCCAACATCCAGTGCCGTGTGGCATAAAACAGGTGAGTTTTCTGGAAGTGATGATGTCCACTTTATAGGGTGAAGCATTTGTGAGATTTATGTAGCGCTGGTGGCAGCCAGATGGAATCACTTCAGTGATGAACATAATTAGCAAAGTCCATCTTAATGATTCGGAATGTGTTGAAATTCCCATCAACACTTTAATAACTCGACATGCACCCCATAATAATTGACTGTCTCTGTTCTTGGCAAATCTCTGTCAGAGCAAAGCAAAGAACATTAGCATTAATTAAATATATAAAAAATATTGGACGCAAACTGCATCGGTAGTAGGGCTGCAAGATATTGTAAAAATCTGACAATGCTTAATCCACTTTAAATCAGTAACCGAGATAATTACATCTATTTGATTGAATTATAACGTTTATTTGAATGAATTATCCTATCGAGAGAGAGAGAGAGAGAGAGAGAGAGAGATGTGCGTGTAAATTACCTGCGTCTGTTCAGCGTCTCTCTACAAGTAATGAAGCTGTGAGTTTAATTACTTCAAAAACAGCGACATTACAATCTCCTTGCTGAGTAATATAATGTTGCAATTCAGTAGCGAAGCTAATTTATTAATAAAAGTCGTGGCGCAGCGTGAACAAGTTTCTGTGCTCCTGAAAGTTTCTGTGTGCAACTGACGCAAGTATGTGTGTGTGCGCTTCAATGAAAGCAGCACCTTAATCTAGAACGGTGATTAAACTGACTTGAAACTACCTGTGCATTAAAATGTTTTATTGCACACCTTCCAGACAATCAGAAACGAGTATTCAGACAGAACATGGAATAAATGTATTTAATTCAATTGCAGCGTGCAATCATGCAGTCATATCACAATATCCATTTTATTTTGCTATATCGTGCAGCCCTAATCGGTATTCTGATTATTTTTGTCTTCTCGCCACATTGGAGAATTTGTGTCTCCCACTGGCCCCGGGTCCCAAACAAAGCCCTATAATTTCCCCTCTCTACATTATTATCTCTGAGATCCCCACCTGGTCAGCCCCCTGTCACCCAGGACATCAGCATCTGAGCCCCCTTAACTTCCTCAACCCCCCAGCCCTGCTCCCCTACTGGTCCATACCCCCTCCAATGGCCACCAGGCAAAAATTCATGGACAAGACACCTGTATCCAGGCCTCCAGCCATGCAAGCCCACTGTGAACCCATAATTACACTGCATTAAGGTCAATGTAATGAGGAAAGCCCTGTAGGACTTCACAGTGGAGCGGGAAGAATCGTGTAGGCCAACCTATGCAACCCTGTGGTACACCCGTGAGCTGAACTCCCAAACCATATGTTAATATTCTTCTAAAGCCTCTCTCATGCAGCGATAGTGAATCGTGATCAGTAATATGAAGCGTAATACTTTTTTTCACATTAAATAATAAAAAAGGGATTAATAAGGCATTGAAAGATACTTCAAAAATTGTGTTGTGTTCAATATGTTAGTGCTTTGAATGTGAGAAGAGCTGTGCTTGTTATAGAGGTCTCCGGATCTTGTCTTAGGAAATGAGAGGTACATATGAACTGACCTGCACATGATCTCATGGGTGAGGAGAACGCGACACATCTCTGGGTTTTTGTCTTGGCCTTCATAAAGGATTGCCTAAAGGAATAAAGAGAGACAAATGCATGTTATTGCTAAATATAAAAAGTTAAGCAGGAAAATATTGCATTTTATTTTTTACACTAGGCAGAGCAGACCGGGGCTAGTTGTCACACTTTTACACCAGTGAATATTTCCCAGGGTTTATTTATTTTTTAAAGTATTTTTTTATGTAGTCACATTCCATAAAGTGTTGGCTACCAAAATTAAACTATTGAAACATTTCCACAACTATTGTCCAGGGAAAAAAGTTAATTAAATACAATGTGACAACTTACCCCAGAAGTGATTGAATGTGCTCAGCCATCAGCTATTTATTTGTTTGTTTTTTATTTCAATATATTTTAAAATGCATTTATTCCTGTGATTGCAAAGCTGAATTTTCAGCATCATTACTCCAGTCTTCAGTGTCACATGATCCTTCAGAAATCATTCTAATGCTGATTTAGTGCTTGAGAAACATTTATTTTATAGTTATCAATGCTGAAAACAGTTGTGCTGCTTAATATTTTTGAGGAGACCATGATACATTCTTTCCAGACACTTTGAATAAACAGTTAAAAAGAAGTTATTTGCAATAGAAAACGTTTGTAACAAATGTCTTTACAGTCACTTTTGATCAAGTGAATGAGTCGTTGCTGTATTTATTTATTTTTAAAATTGAGTAGTAGTGTAGTTTGGAAGGTAGTATTCACTAAAATGATTACTTTTTGACTCTTGGCTGAGCCCTCCTTTAGCTCATCCTGAAACCAGCGATTGCTCAAGATAAATGTTTAGGATGTTGACACCTGGTCATTAGTCATGATTTTGGTTCGAAGCATGCTGACAACTTTAACATATGCTAAAAGCTAAATCTGGTCATCTACGGTTGGATGTATGCAGTGATCTGAGGGGGATCCAGACTCTGCTGGAGCTCATGTGGAGTAACAATCTTCCCATTCTCCCCATCAGCATCCAACCCGAGCAGCCAGATGGCCAGCCAGGCCCCGAAAGAGAGGCCTCCTCCCAGGCATCCGTCATCGGGCTGTCATGCCTGGCCTGAATGACGGATGATCGGTGCATATCAAGGAAGTTTAAGGACTCACCCCCCTTCCAACCAGACCTCATCCCAATCACCGGTAAAGATGAATCCATCATAAACACACACACACACACACACACACACACACACACATAAGGAACGCAAAACACAATCCACCTCAAACTATCCTCCATCTCACTCGACTCAGTCAGTCAGTCGGCCAGACGGGGTTGACCCAACGCCCTAGGGAACAATACTTTTAGGATAACGACCACTTCTACATTATTGATCTTTCTCTCCGCTGCCTATGAAAGTCTCTTCCTCTTCATCACCATCCTCCAAATCTGTCGAAGGGGGAGGGGATTTGGTATCGGAGGGGGTCGGGAGGTGGATCGGGTCGATATTTATATATCATCGTTCTTGATTCACATCGCTGGCGCCATAGTAGTGGCCCCACCCCAGGTCTTCGAGCACATCTGACTCCAGCGATATGGAATAGTGTTACAACTCTTCCATGAACTCCAAACACACTCTTTCCTGGTACTTTAATGAAGTCATCTCGCCTTACAAGGAATAATTTGATTAGTAGAACAAAGCTATTTTGCTAAATTAATTTTGGGGAAATGTTTAAATTGGAGGCAGCATAGCTCAACCAAGAACCGAATCCCTCGTATTCTCAATTAGAAGAAAAAAACGTGTCCGTTGTCAATCGATATTTGCAGCTTCGCTGTTGATGCACATATGTAAAGACTGCGTGCGCGGGTAGGGAGAAGGATTTTACGGGCGCGCACAGCTATAGCCCTTTTTTGTCGTCGGGAGGATTATTGTCTCCAGCGTGTCGGCTCTGCAGCTACATTAAGGCCTATTGATTGGTCTCCGGGGTTGATGCTTTGTCGAGGTACTGGTTGCCATATTGATCTGAGACAGGCTGACACGCAGTGACAGTAGGACCTGCTGGGCTGGGGAAAGGATAGGCCATGTGAAGACCGGAGGGGGTTAAGGTCTGGTCCATTTTATGACGGAATGAAGAACGCAGGTGCAGAACTGAGTTCGGGGTATGAGAGGCATCTCTAATGGCACTTTTATTTGCACGTGGGGTTCATATCACATGCACTTTAAGTCATCTCAAATTTATTTGTATAGCGCTTTTCACAATACATGCTGTTTCAAAGCATTTTCAAAGCTTTTTAGAAAATCATAATGTTTAGCTCCATGCCTTATAGTCGCATTTAGCAATTTAGATCTGGGCATTAATATAATTGACCTTTTGTGACAATACAAGCAGTCAAGCAGTTGAGATTTGTTATAGTATCGCTTGACGTGAATGTACTGTATGTATGCAGATAAATTTGGACATACTTATCCAGAAATGTTTGATTATATAGTAATATTTTGCGACAAAATAAAAAAATCAAGCAGTTGAGATTTGCTATATACTATGCATTGCTTTACATGTATGTATGCAGTTGGATATAAGTTGTATTTATATTCTCATTACTCGTCTTTTGGATGAGACTTTAAACCGAGGTCATGACTCTCTGTGGTCATAAAAAATCCCAGGATGTCCTTCAGAAAAAGAGTAGGGGTGTAACCCCGGCATCCTGGCCATATTTACCCATTGGCCTCTGTCCTTTATCATGGCCTCCTAATCATCCCCATATATATATATATATATATATATATATATATATATATATATATATATATATAATATTGATTGGCTGCATCACTCTGTCTCCTCTCCACCAATAAGCTGGTGTGTGGTGGGCGTTCTGGAGCACTATGGCTGTAGTCGTATCATCCAGGTGGATGCTGCACATTGGTGGTGGTTAAGGAGATTCCCCCTTCCATATGTAAAGCGCTTTGAGTGCCGATAAAAGCGCTATATAAATGAATTATTATTATTATATACAACTTTATATAGAGAGCTGTGTGATAATAGAGTTTACAGTTTTCAGCGACATAAGCAATCACGCAGCCAAGATTTCCTATAGAGTATACAGTATATTGCTTTAGGTGAGGATACTGTATGTACGCAGGTAAAGTAGGATGTACCACTATATATCCTACTTTTAATAAATCGGATGCTAATATAGTTAACATCTATCAACGATAGAACAATCAAGCAGTTAAAATTTGCTATATAGTACATACCGCTTAATGTGAGTATGTATGTATCCGGGCAAGGTTGGATATACTTAGTTGAATTATTTGTTATTTATAATATGTTTTATAATATAATTTAATTTAATATTAGTTATTAACTCATTATCTGGTGAGATTTACATTTTATACACTTTACAATGCAACTTTCAGAGTGGAGAAGAATTTCAACAACAACAACAACAAAAAAACATTGCAAATAAAAAAAAAAAAGTACTTACCTGTTTAGTCATGGAGTCTATTAATCGAACGAACAGATCCTGTTCTGTCCTGATACCTACAAGTTTAAATGGAATAAATATATATTAGGCACATAAACATGCATCTTGGACACAAAAATGTTCTCATTTGCTCTGCATTTAATGCAATCCTGCTCAGTTGTATAATAAAAAAAAATGTAATGTGCCATATTTCAACACAAATACTTGTAGAATCAAGTGTGTGTTCAAATTAAAAGGCTCTTTGAGCAAACAAAACAGAAAGCCAGCCCCAAAACGCAGAGCCCAATTGTTTTGAAAAGTCGACATAAAGGGACTCGTTTCTTATGAAAATCTTGGAAATTAATTTGTTTTATTATTCTTTTCCCCACAGTACGTTTATGCGCATTCTGTTATGTTTGTCGTGCTGACTGAGCTATTCCGCTAACGCTTCTTAGCAAAAACAAACTCGGCTCAGTTTTTCTATTATTTATGATCTTCCCGCCTTAACGTGTGAGAGCTTGCTTTCCTCTTGCCCTGCTGTCTCTGTGCTGGTGGATGACAGAGAATCAACATCTATAGACAAATCAATCATCACTAGCTGTTAGCATTACGCTAAGGAGAGAAGGAGAAGAGAACAGTCTAGAATTAAGTCTTTGGTTCTGAATCGTCTTATACCATACATGTTGAGTTGAGTCACACTTTATGATAACTTTCATTTTAATTTTCAGATATTTCAAGGTGGCGTTTCTAACTGTTTAAATGTATATTAAAGGAATTTAACTTCACTTCATTTATTCACCTTAATGTCGTTACAAACCCAAATCGAATGCATCAGTCAGATTCATGAATGAATCAATCTTATTTTGTGAAAAGATTTAACAGACTTATTGAAAAGATCCAACTCAAAATAATTATTTCATCCTTTTTGGTAATAATTTGACTGAAGCACTGAATAGTGTACCAATGTTTAATACGGATATTAATGAAAGTTACTTTAAAGTAGGTCATCATGACTGTGTAGGTCAACAAGTAGTTCTATATATTGTTCATAGTTGTTCACATATTATGCAAACATAGTAACACTTTTTTTTTTTTTTTACTGTTTTTGAAAGAAGTTTCTTATGTTCACCAAGGCTGCATTTATTTGATCACAGAAGTAGTAAAAATTGCAATATTGTGAAATACTATTACAATTTAATAACTGTTTTCTACTTTAATATATAATTTATTCCTGTGATGTCAACGTACATACATTGTATACATTGGCATTAATTCAAATCACTTATATTGACAAGTGTAACATCCTACCTGCTCTTACAAATGTGCCCAGTCAGTATATACTTACTAAGAACTAAGAGCTTGAATGAGACCATGTTTAACGTGTCTGTGTGGGTGAGTAGCGTGGAATGACATTAGACATGAGCGTAAACTGTGAAAGGGTGGCAAATGTGTTCAACAGCATGAACTCCTCTCAGGATAAACAGATGGAGCTCTCAAATACTCTCCCAGATGTGATGAGACATGTTGCATGATTGTGGTTACATATCGTTTACAGTTGGCCTCGCTCTGCCTCGCAATATGTCTTTGTTATTGATGGGATATGGAAAGGGTTTGGAGGAGCAGTATGGGTCTCACCGTTGCTGTAGAGAAGCTGTAACCTGTAGTGGATGCCATTGTTGGTCTTCTCACCGTTGTATTCCTAAAAGAACACAAAAGCAAGTAGGACATGTATGAGAATAAAAAACTTAACTAACATACCGTGCATACACATGTGTGTGCTGTGCTTATTGGGGTCATTTATTAAAGCATTCACCATCAAGACAGGTTATCTAAGCACATTGACCTTTAGATCTGAATTGTGAATGTCATACTGCTGGTAATGACTTATGAAATCACTGTCACTGTGGCAACAATAATTAGCAAAAACTACAATTAAATAAGAATACATTCACAATTTGATGTTTATTTGTGCAGGTTTAGCAATCCATTCTTCTATGTAGTTCCTTATAGTCTTGCATACAGAACCAGTTACTGTAACCGTTTGGGGTCGGTGAGATTTTTTTTATGTTTTTGTGTCTATTCTCACTGAGGCTACATTTATTTGATCAACAAATAAAGTAACACAGTAATATTGTGAAATATTATTACAATTTTTTTTTTTTAAATGTATTCCTGTGATGGCAAAGCTGAAATTTTAGCATAATTTCTCCAGTCTTCTGTGTCACATGATCCTTCAGAAATCATTCTGATATCCTGATTTGCTGCTCAAAACAGTATTGAAAACAATTGTGCTGCCTAATATTTTTGTGAATACATTTCTGCAGGATTCTTTGATAAATAGTAAGTCCAACAGAACAGCATTTCTTTGAAATCGAAATATTTTGTGAAATTATAAATGTATATTGTCAATTTTGATCAATTTATAGCATACGCAATGCTCAATAAAAGTACTTTGTCTGTTTTTTTTTATCTTACTGACTTAATTTGAAGGCTTACTTCAAGTCTTTGGTGGGTCTATCAAAATCATTCACTACGAAATCATTTCGAAATCACAGCACAAGAACTGCAGTCCATTCAAACGTGAGCCTAGTTTGATGTCACTTTTTTGGACTAAGATCGTGTGAGGTTTACATTTAAGCATCACATCCCGGCTTCAGGTGAGTTATTTTCCCCTAATGTAACATCAATCCAATGAGACGCAAGAACACGACACACCCACACATGTCGTCAGTCTCTCTCTATCTCCTCACTGCCAAGTTTAGTGGTAGCGTCTTGGCAGCGACCCAGGGTGGAGTGGAGGAGTGTGTGGAGGGGATGCTGGGCGGGGGTTATGGCGGAGGTGAACGGACAGCGAGGACAGAGCTCTGACTGTGCCAGCTGGACCCCGTCCCGCATGACTGTGGGCGGAGCTGTTCTCTGTAACCTTTTACTGAGAACAACCCCCCGACACACACACCGCGAGGTGAGCAGGACTACCCTCCGACACACACCGCGGGGCTACACTCTAAAAAACGATTCTTTGGCTGAACAACCATTACTTATAAAAGTAATTAGATTAAACACAAAAAAATAAGTATTCATAACTTTTCAACCTCTACTTAACATATTTAGTGTGTGTAACACAAAAATATAAGTAACTAGGTGAACTTAAATGTATGCATAAATAAAATGAAAAAACATAAGTCATGTCAACTACTCTAATAATTGCTTCAAAATTAAGTAAATCGAGCATAACATTTTAAGTAACTATACGAGCCACGTGATATGCAATTTCCCGTGATGCCTTTCCAGCCAAAAATTGGAGCCATTTTGTGAAGCACATATGTGAAGACGCTGAAAAGAGGTAAGCTTAACTTTTTTTAACTTATGGTACACTCAATCGTTTATTGCATTTTTGGTCAAGAAACTAACTTTTAAACTGAATTTCAGAATTGCTACGAATTTTGTATCAACAATTAGAAACGTGTTACGAACACCTATGTAGTCTACAAGTTAATGTATGAAATGAGTGACTTTGCACGAGAGTATATTTGAATTATTAAGCGAGTGTGGTTCCATTGAATAGGCTATCAAGTGTCAAGTGTTTATAGTAGTCAGAGTATTTATTGTGTTTTTCGAAATATATGACCATGACGTTGGCACGTATGCATTAATGGTGTGTTCACACCGAACGCGAATTTAATCATTTGCGCGAGTAGATTACAAAGTCAATGCAAAGACACGAATAGACGCATCGGCGCGAATGACGCGAATTGGGTGACGCGTTTGCCGCGAACGTCTTCCACGCAAGTTGAAAAATTTGAACTCGAGCAGATTCAAGCGTCTAACTAGACGCGATAGACGCGTATTTGACGCTCCATTCGCGTTCGGTTTGAACACACCATAAGAGGACAATTCGGACGGCGCTTTCCCCCACGGATAAATTCGTAGGTAGTTGTCATTTATTATATGCAGGCTATGAGTTTTCGGATACAACATTGTAACATTAACATACAAATATTAAATTCGAAAACACATTGGCTACAGCTCCGTGTTCACGATTTATCATTAAATAATGGCGATCTTGATTCAAACACAACATTATTCCTAAATGACAACTACAACCCTGTCTATTAAAACTTCAAAATTATTATCAAAAATAAGTAAATACCTTTTAAGCAAAAGTTTGGCTTCAAACAAAGATTGTAAATCTTTATTTACTGTTTGGCTATTCCAGTAGTGACTGACTGTTAAAATGTTTTGAAGAGATTCGTTCAAAACCTCTGGACAAAAGTCTTCATTAATTAACTTGTTTTGTTTGAATTAATAGATATTATTTAATAGACTCATTTTTATATTTATAGGCATTTAATAATGGACTAATTTGTAACATTTAATTATTGTTTTTTTCTTTTTAGATATATTTTTGATAACCAGAAAGAAATGTGTATATATATATATACACACACACAACCAGTAAGATTGTTTAATGTTTTTAAAAGAAGTCTCTTCTGTCCACCAAGCCTTCATTTATTTGATCCAAAATACAGCAAAAACTGTAATATTGTGATTATTATTATTATTATTATTTTTACAATTTAAAACAACTGTTTTCTATTTGAATATATTTTAAGATGCAATTTAGAAGTTTTGGGTCAATTAGAACTTTTTTTTTTAAAGAAATAAAATAAGTTAATACTTTTATCCAGCAAGTATGCATTAAATTGATTAAAACGTGACAGTATAGACATTTATAATGTTGCAAATGTAAGAGGCTGTAAGAGATTTATTTTATTTTAAAATATAAAGGTACATTTCTTTCTCATTCTGTGTTTCAATGCAATTGATTTTTTGCAACAGTCTGAACAATAACAAGTGATGTTGCAAGTAAATGCAGATTTCCTGTTTTTTTTATGTATTTTTTTTATACTCATAGGAACTGGAACATCTCACATTGAGGATCATCATGAAAGGTGACTCAGCAGATGATCCTTTACAGACTGGGGTAACGCTGGAAGGCATAGAGGTGATGAGTCACGAACGCTGTGCTAAGTGAGCTGGTCGATAGGAATTACGTTTGTGAAACTAATTACATGGAAATGCATGAATTATATCTGTTTATTAAAATAGTTTCTTCCGGAAACAACAGACCATATTATGAGATTCCAAGTCACAGTTCATCTCACTTAGCACGGCGTTCGTGGCTCGACTGGTCGAGACTGTTTTCCAAGATGGCTCCTGCCTGTATAAGTGTAATGTACTGTCTTTATAAAGTATCTTCTCATTAAACTGTCTGTACACTTACAAAGTCCTCAATGCTTCGGTTTGCATGTAGGGACCCTCATTATGCTACCGTGTTAGTGTGGGGCTATTTTGAGCCTTGTTAGTGGTATTAACTAGCGATTTACTTTTGCTTATTCTATGCCCCATATACTAGCGTTATAAGCTAAACAGTTTTTAGAGAAAAAACTCTACGTACATTCGATTATCATGAAAACGCATCCCAGAGAACGATCAACTCGGTAACCATGTGTTAATTACCCCTAGGTTCATTTTTCACCGGAATTGTCCTTTAAGAGGTTTTTTGTATGTTGCAAAAGGAAATATTGGAAAAATGTAAATCTTTTGAGAAGTGTTGCAAAGGTGAAAAAGTGACCTGTTAAAAGTGATTTTCCATTTGTCGATTTGCCACATTTTGTTACATTTCATTATGTGGTTTCAGGCTTTCAAGCCTTTGGCAAAAAATAAAAAATAATAAAGTTAAATGCTTTATTGTGTGTGATTTGCATGTTTAATTTATTTTAAGACATTGAATGTACTGGAGCAGTGCAGTTAACAGACCAATAGCTGAAGATCTAAAATAAGTTAAAATGGTTGGTTCAACTCATTTAATTGTCTTATTTTTATATACAAATGGGCTTAAATGTTAAGTTAACAGAACTAAGATTTGTTTTGATCTCACATGGCCTGCACTGTGTTGGATTTACTTAAAATATATATGCACCATTTTTGCATCATACTTTTTAAGTAATCCCAACTTGGAATTATTTTACATAAAATAAACAAGAAAACCTTTGTTATATGTACTTAAATATTTGAGTTCACATAACATTCTTTACTTAAAAATATATGTAACGTGATGCATATATTTTTAAGTAAAGAATGTTGCGTGAACTCAAATATTTAAGTACATATAACAACGGTTTTCTTGTTAATTTTAAGTAAAATTATTCCAAGTTGGGATTACTTAAAAAGTATGATGCAAAAATGGTGCATATATATTTTAAGTAAATCCAACACATCATTTTTTAGAGTGTAGCAGGTACAAACACACGACTGAGAATCAGACTCAGAAGAAGAAGAAAATAATGTGCGCTGAGAATAAGCTAAACACAGTGTTTTCTTACAAAAGCTGAATATTTTAGAGTTAAAATAAATAAATAATGCTTTGACGTTAATAAGAACATTTGATATAATATTGTTAATGCACTTCTTATGAAAAGAAAGTGGTCTCATTGCTGCCCCCTAGATGTATAATTTGGTACAGCTACTATTGAGAAAGGGTGAAGCCCAGAACCTAGATCTCACTTATACACACTGCAACCACACAACAAAGAAACATAAATTGCAACAGAAATGTAACAATGTGTGTAAACAGGAAACATTGTTGCAGAGGGTTTGGGAAATGTTGGTGTGGTTTTATAAAATGAGTATTTATATTAACAGCATCTTGGAACAATACGTCCAAAACACAAGATAATAATTTAAAATAATAAATGTGTATGATCAATACGTTTTTACTAACTTTTTTTTGCTGACTTAACTTTACATTAAACATTGTTGCAGAGGGTTTGGAAAATGTTTAGGAATTTGTGTTGTTTTTATTAAAAAAATTATGTATTAAAATGTATGTATTATATACTGTATATATATATATTTATTTTGTTTTATTTTTTTACGTACAAACACTACAATCAGATTCATTTCTGACAATAAACAATGGTTTTGACCTATGCAACAATAAAAATAAAACTAACCAAAGTGTGAGATGACGTAAAATCTTTGTCTCACATTTGAGGTTTTGAGAGATTTTAAAATAAAATCTATGATAACTTTTCGGCTTTATCAGAATTATTTCGAGGTTTTATTCTAACACAAAAAAAATCGTACTAAATAATCTACAAAAAAAACAACAATTATACCATTCTTAGCATGTTCTCTAAGTTCAATAAGCAGCACCCCAGCATATCGCAAACCCTGTCGCGTTGTGGAACGGCGTCTATTAGTGACAGAGTGCTTACTTTGTCTTTTTCCACAAAGTCCACGTAGGAGGTTCTCTCGATCTCGACGGGCTGTCCCTGCCGGTCATACAGGGCCAGCACAAAGTGGAAGAAGTTTGACTTGCGCAGGTTTGAGGGAGGCTGCTTTTCATAATGGGCTCTTGCCAAACCCACACCACTACAAGAGAGAGAGAGAGAGAGAGAGATGGAGAGAAAGAGACAGAGAGATTAATGTACTGTAACCCAAATAATCACTCAAAACATGAGCTTGCAGAAAGATGAAATGGCAGTTTCACATGAACTTTCACAAATAATATCACATTGCATATAAATATATAACGCCTTGTTGTTGAAAAGTCACCGCAACGTCAACATTTTTAAGATCTGCATGTGATTCACAACCTTTTTCTACATGGGAATATGCAGAGTCCCATGTATCTTTGTACGACAATCCCGTAAAATGATAAAGACTATAGGAAACACAAACAGGAAATTAGAGCTGTTACAAAGAGAGATAACAGGACATAACTGAGAGGGGGTTAGAGGAGAGATATTTGGCTCGTTTTCTCATGCCCTGTGTGTGCCATGAACTCTATTGTCTGCCCCTCTCTGCTCTGCCACCTCAACAATTGTAATCTGGCGCTGAGCGGGGACCCCAGAAGGCACCGTCTGCCTTTGCGGCTGCCAATCGCTACTGGGTACGGCTCGCCTTGGCAACTGCTGCGTTCCTCTTTCCCTGACCTGTCAGTCAAACCTGCTCGGGCCTCCCCAGGGTTCAGCCGATAGGAGACTCCATCCTGACTCGCGCACTTGAGCATCGATTAGAACGCGTGGCAAACTACGGACTGACAGAGACCGAGGATCCTCGGGCAGCCCGAGAGGAGAAGGCCCGCACCTCTACGCCAACCCTACACCTCCACCTATCAATCAAACCGTCAGCCCTGGTCCACTGACGCAAGCACTGATCATCTTTCCAAACCTGGATCAGTGGTCACATGGTCCTCAGAGAGAGATAAAGGCCTGAAGTAAAGGAAGGAAGATTAAAATGCAGGTGATCTGTATTTTTAATAGGGTGGTAATGCATGCATCCCTTCCCTCAAGCAGAAACTGACATCAAGCACTCAGTCTTATCTCTTAACACTTTTCCCACATTAGATTTCAACAAAGAAATTTGACATGCATCAAAATATGAATTAATAACAATATATTTGAATTATAAATAAATCATATAATTATGATTAAATATTTATGTATGTATATGTATGTAAAGGTAATAATGACTTGTTTCAAACAGGTTTCCCGAACACATCTGCCACTGGTTGCCAAACAGATAGTCCCGCCCCAAACGCACATTACTGATTACCATTTTAATTAAATGCTAAATAAAAATCAAGAAATACTTCAAAAATGTCACATGTTCCACAAAAATATTAAGCAGCACAGCTGTTTTCAACTATGATAACAATAATAAATGTTTCTTGAGCAGCAAATCAGCATATTAGAATAACTTGTGACACTGAAGACTGGAGTAATGATGCTGAAAATTCATCCCAGAAATAAATTACACTATAAAATGTAAAAACAAAACAGTTGTTTTACAATTGTAATAATATTGCGCAATATTGTAGTATTATTTACTGTGTGGTATTATTGAATATTACCAGTATTATGTGGTATTAGTGCATTTTTTATCAAATAAATGCAGCCGTGGTGACCATAACAGACTTCTTTCATAAACAAAAAAAAGCGGAGAACGTATTTTAACATAATTAATAGAAAAAATTACATCACCTTTAAGTCAAAACAAGCGCCCCGTAATATTTACGATTCCCCGAATCATTAAATGAAAAAGTGCGTAATGTTCACAGACGTAAATTGCAGCTGTCATTGTTAAGTCAGTTCATTATTTACTCGTTACCCTGATGAGGAGGGCCGAAATGCGTTTGAATCTCAAAAATATGCTCATACATAAATATTTGTTCATCTGCTGAGCTCGGGGTGGGGAGCCAGTGTTTTGGAAAGCGGCCTGCTCTCTGTCTCCGCTCGTTGAGATATTCCCCTGATAGGACATTAATAAAGCCTGACCCCTCCCCAGTACTATTACCAGGGCTTAATGCTTCATTTGTATCCGAGCCTGATGAAATCTCATTCGTGAAGTTGAGGTTACTACACTGAAGGCAAAAACAGCTTTCACAGAAGAGGCTGTGGGAGGGGGATTCTGGGAGGAGCACTTTTAAAGCGGATGACTTCAACGTAAATGGGAAATATGATCTTCTTCATCTGTAGTAATTGATTCGCAGGGAAGATCTTTAGCAGTCTGACTGGTCAGGGCGGTGCTAAGTCTGACAGATGCCCTCTAAATGCAATACGAAAAAGCCATAGAAAATAAGAGAGCAAGACAAGACAATAACATTATGAGAAGTGTATTATATGTCAAAATAATTTTGACAAAAAATGTTAGTGGACATGTAACGTGTCGACTGCCAATTCTAAATAATGTTTTTTTAACAAATCATCAAGATAATAGGTTCAAATTTATATGAATGATCCTGCAGTGTGACATTTTTTTAATATATCCATATATGAGTTTCAGAATAAACATGTCATATATCGCACAACAGGATACATCAACAGTCTGGGCCCAAATCCTGCATCTGCACTGCATGAAATGCACAAGCACATGTAAACACAAATTATCACCTTCACATAGGAAGACAGAACTACAAAATGACACATTTGTGGGGGAGCATCACACTTAAACACACACGCATTGCATCATGAGCTCCTCTCCATTACCCCATCAGCTCGGTTACAAAGCAAGGCGTCATGTTTCTGATGGGGTGAAGGAGAGAGAGACAGCGTTCCCGCACACTCTCGCAAAGCACGGATCTTTACGTGCAGGAAACGATCGACTCGGAAAGCTTGTTAGTGTTATTATTTTAATTATGTTGATTGCTGCCATATCCACTCCAGCAGTTCTGAGTCAGAGGCAGGCACGATTGGTCGGCTCTCACTCGCTCCGTATTGAAATAACTGCTATCGAGGTGACACACACACACACACAGACAGCAGAGCTGTGTAAATCAGTCGCTAACGGACAGCTACAGCACAGGGTCTCACTACGGTCTGCGTTAAACACACTGTTTGACATCTTCTCGTCACAGAGCAGAGAGAAATAAAAGGGAAAAAAGCATGCAAGCCAGAAACAACGACAGTTCTGACACAATTCTGGATGTAAAAACACCCTCCACTTGAAGACTTTTATTTGAATCAATAAATACGGTCTCACAGAACCGCTTTAACAATAAACCATTCATAGCAAGAGCTGAAGGGTTTGTAATGATGACATTTCAGAATACAAGAGCGCCGTCTTTCTTTCTGCAATGGCAGTCGGTGCAGTCTGCGGCCCTTTGCACACTGCAGGCTTAACGCCATACAGCAAAGTCTAATTATGTTAAATGAAAAAAACTAACCCCAGGCTAAGATCCTCACAGCTCAAGGGCCTGCACACTTGAGGGAAATAGATATAAGCATAGAGACTCAAACTCTGAAATCATCAGCTAATGAACATGCAGAGGAGAAGAAACTGCCGATACAAAGCAGGATCTGCTGAGATTTTAAGGAGTTAAATGACGTGTGTGAGCAAAAAGTAGTGATGCCTTCACATGTACATCTCAATAAAACAATCATCTCACTGCAAAATGATGATAAATCAAACTGTATTTACGCTGTTATGTTTATTTTAAAACCGTATGTATCTAATAATAAGAACGTTTGGGGTGTGAGTGTGTGCAGTTTAGATTGTAGAACAAAACATCAAAGTATCGTCAAGTTATGTTTAACACAGTCCTTATTTTACTTTACCGTTATAAAACCCCATAGGAAAATCTCGAGGAAACCAGTGGCGAATTAGACTTCCGGGTTTTGACGTCATCCCTGCACCACTCAACTGCAAATATGTCATTTACAACACATTTAACTCCCACAACGTGTCGTATTTCAGAGTAAAACAGAATTTTTGGTATTCAAAATGTGGAGCGTTACTTGATATCAGCTTTCAGGATTTGATTGGATTGTTAGGCTACGTTATTGGTTACTACTATTTTTCCCGCAAATGTGACTTTGTGACACATACTTAGGTGCAGTTTACACGACACAGTTTTTTTTAAAGCTAAAAATGGCAAACGTATGCATTTTGGCCATTAAAATACACAACAATGGGGCTCAAAGTGAATGTTTTTGAAAACAGTACCGTTATTGTCTTCATGTAAACTACAAAACGCAAATATGTGAAAACGGTAACGGCATGCGCATGTCTATTACATGCTCCGCTATAGGTGCGTAGTGTTTCTTTACAAAGTGACAACGCCAACTCTATGGGCCTAGCAGCATTATACTAGCCTGGTTCTACCAGACTCTCGTACATTTCATTTGTACAGAGAGTCTGGCCTCGCTCCATTGAGAAACGTTTACTTCCTTGTAGGCGGGTTCTCTGTTAAAGTTCAAAACTATTGGATCTGCCCAGCGTCACTCAGGATCTGCCATAGCCAATCGCTAACGTGTGGTCATGACGTATGTCATGCGCCGAAACCGGCTGGAAACAACAAGTCCGAATTCCATATTCATAAATCTAAATATCTAAATGCTAAACCTCTCTTTCTTATATTTGTGAAAGAATTTTAAAAATACCTCTTTTCAATTAAGTTGTCTGAGAACAAAAAAAAAGCCTTAAAAACATTATCCGTTTGTAATTATTTTCCTTTTTTCAGTGTCATGTAATTCTCTTAACTTGTTCATGTTTATTTTATATTATCCCCCTACTGTTTTATTTTTGTTTTGTTTTTATTATTATTTTTTGTTTGTTTTTGTATTATGTTTTCTGTTATTACTTGTGTAGGCCTATTGTTTTAAGCAATAAAAAAAAACAAGTCCGAATGATCAGAGGATTATGTTTAGAATAAGATGTCTGTCAACGAGAGCTGCATGTTTTGTTCATCGAATTTAAGAGTTCAAGGAACAATTCTAAATTCTAAATGTATATTTGACACTAAGGACAGTGATGTATTCAGTCAACTGTCGAAGCTGGGTGTAATCATTAACAATACGCCGCTGCGGTCGTTTCGGATCTGCCGCAAATGCTGAACAGTGATCATCGTGCACGCCGAGCTGCCCAGCACC